CAGTGGAGAAGCCGAGACGCCAAGGGTAGACCCGCAAGAATTCGCCACAACCTCGGGGTTCGTTCGCTTCTTGGTGGATTCATCTACAACTGTTGGGTTTCATGTTACAAGGTGGTGCCCCATAGTTAGCTAAGTTGGTTTATAACTCCCATAACTATGTTTTATGGCAGATATATCTAATAGTTAATGGGGTTTATAAACCAACTTATAACTGGGGGGCACCATCCTGTAGGGCTGTGGTGGAAAAAAACAGGGTGATACTATCCTGCTGTCTCGTATCAGCTCACCACGCACACACTAGACAAGAAATGGATCATTGAAGTGATCGGCTGGGAACTGAATCCCCTGACATGCAATTAGATTAGAAGACAAAACATATTACTCAGGGGTTCCTGGGGGTAGCTGCTTGCCACATCAGTTTAAATCACAGGGGTCTTTGACATATAAACCAACAACGTTCAAAATATAAGGTGCAGGTAAGTCAGTAAAAATCACAGGAGTCTTTGACATATAAACCAACAGCGTAGATCATATATAAGATGCAGGTACGTCAGTGCTGGCCAGGCACTGATGTCACATCCACTTGGTGCGGTCTTTGTTAGATGAGGCACACCAAGGGACCCTCATCCCCCTGCATTTTTAAAGGTAGAAGTTTTACATCTGTTCAGATGTTACACACACACACACACGGCTGACCTTTGATATCCCATTAAGAAGCTCATGTTCAACAACATGAAAGTATAGTTATACAAGCAAAATCCTAATCATGCCGTTGCTGTTGCCGCTGTTGCTGCTGTTGCTCCTGTTGTGGTTATGGTTTAAATTTTGGTTACGGTTGTCGTCGTTGTCACAACAATTGGGATGATTTCCCCTCAATATACATATATATATTATAAATATCTATTTATTTATTTATATGTGTATAAATATATATATATATACACTGGTAGGACAAAAGTTGCGCTTGTTGAGCTACCCACAGTGAACATGTTTGATTTCTTCTTCTGCACACCCTTTCCCCGTAGAATCCTAGTATGGAGCTTTATCGTATTTCGGTCGCATTTCCACCCTCCAAAAGCTTTAAAATCTTATGTATTTAAAAGAGGGTGATAATTGACCGTCCCACACCTGCCACACAAAACGGACTTGAAAATGTGATCCGCGGTTGACCGAAATGGATGTTTTGTAAAGCTTCCAAGAAGCATAAACTTTGTTCCTCCTGAAGGGTACAAAAAGCTTATTTAGTGGGAATTGCCGTCATTTGCTGATTTTTGCACCTGCTTCAGCTTGGTCATTACTCCACATAACATGTCTGTCTCCATCCTCTTTGTCTGCACTGCTACACATGTGCCGTGACGCAGGGTACAAAAAGCTTATCCAGTGGGAATTGCCGTTTCATTTGCTGATTTTTGCACGTGCTTCAGCTTGGTCATTACTCCACATAACATGTCTGTCTCCATCCTCTTTGTCTGCACTGCTACACATGTGCCGTGACGCAGGGTACAAAAAGCTTATTTAGTGGGAATTGCCACGTCATTTGCTGATTTTTGCACGTGCTTCAGCTTGGTCATTACTCCACATAACATGTCTGTCTCCATCCTCTTTGTCTGCACTGCTACACATGTGCCGTGACGCAGGGTACAAAAAGCTATCCTCTTTGTCTGCACTGCTACACATGTGCCGTGACGCAGGGTACAAAAAGCTTATTTAGTGGGAATTGCCTTTTCATTTGCTGATTTTTGCACGTGCTTCAGCTTGGTCATTACTCCACATAACATGTCTGTCTCCATCCTCTTTGTCTGCACTGCTACACATGTGCCGTGACGCAGGGTACAAAAAGCTTATCCAGTGGGAATTGCCGTTTCATTTGCTGATTTTTGCACGTGCTTCAGCCTGGTCATTACTCCACATAACATGTCTGTCTCCATCCTCTTTGTCTGCACTGCTACACACTGGCTACACATGTGCCGTGACGCAGGGTACAAAAAGCTATCCTCTTTGTCTGCACTGCTACACATGTGCCGTGACGCAGGGTACAAAGAGCTTATCCAGTGGGAATTGCCGTTTCATTTGCTGATTTTTGCACGTGCTTCAGCTTGGTCATTACTCCACATAACATGTCTGTCTCCATCCTCTTTGTCTGCACTGCTGCACATGTGCTGTGACGCACTGGTAGGACAAAAGTTGCGCTTGTTGAGCTACCCACAGTGAACATGTTTGATTTCTTCTTCTGCACACCCTTTCCCCGTAGAATCCTAGTATGGAGCTTTATCGTATTTCGGTCGCATTTCCACCCTCCAAAAGCTTTAAAATCTTATGTATTTAAAAGAGGGTGATAATTGACCGTCCCACACCTGCCACACAAAACGGACTTGAAAATGTGATCCGCGGTTGACCGAAATGGATGTTTTGTAAAGCTTCCAAGAAGCATAAACTTTGTTCCTCCTGAAGTATACATACATAGGCCTTGTATAGATATGATATAACATGATACAACTAGAACTTGCGTTGTGACACGGTGGTTGAGTTAGTATCATCCAAATAATTGCAATGCGTCATTGTGACAACCAGACTTTCATGGCTAAATCACGAATTCCGTTGTGACTCATGCAGAATTTGGGTTTGTCTGCAGGACCTACTAGCTCACAGCATGTGGGTTATACTTTCTCTATAAACATCATAGTTTTGGGGGTCTTACGGTCTAACGGTCTTACCATCATTTCAACCTCAAAAAGGTACTGTTTCTTGCCCCAAATTGGCAGATCATATGAAATGATATGCAATAATGCTAAATGCAATGGAAACATTCACCAAGGACTGGGGACCTGTTGCAGCTTCCAGCACAATGAACAATCTGTGAGATTCTTCGAGGATTTCCTGATCTGCACAGCTCAATCTGTACATGTCAAAGCTTGCGGTGTAATGTATCTGACTCAGTTTGCAAGCTGGCTTCCTACGTGGCTACAAGATGGTGTTTGAATGTGTTTGATGGTATTGACACAGGCACCCATTCCCCAACTTCTGGTTCACCCAGTGAAACCTGCCGAGAAACACTGCAAGGAGCAAAGAGTAGCAATCAAACACGAGAACGCCCTCGGAGCGTAGGTGGTCACGGATCGTCATGTTTGAGACTTTTTTCTGCGAACATTGAGTCACAGCCTTTTTGGAGGTTTCCTAAAATAGGGCCCCAAATTATCCATCTTCATTGGATTTTCCATGAAATCCACCATCCAGCTATTGGGGACCCTATATGGAAATCCCCTGTTGGATGCTGCCCAGGTGGCTCATCCATGACAGTATCGCTGGTTTTTCGGCAACAGTTTGCGACACGGAAAATCACCATTGGCTTAAGGGAAATCAACGAACGAAATAGGCACTTCCATAGCAAAGTGCTAAATTCCCGGTACTACTTAAACATGACCACGGTCATGTACAGTCTTTGTTGGAGGCCAAAAGGTCTCGACCTGACCCGAACTTAGTTCGGTCCAAAGTCCCAAGGCTAGTCCTAAGGTGCTTGCTGCTTGGGTGCAGCAAGGTTCCTCCGCACCGATCTGATGCCAGGCTACAAACAGCTGATGGGAGGCCCCGCCACCTTCAGCTCCTGCACGACAGGGTGCGAGGTGTCTTTTAACCATGACTTTTTGTTGGGGATTTAGTGTATATGAATTAATATATATACATATATATATATTATAATTTATAATTGTGTATATATTTCCAGAATTACATTCCATGGTATAAAATATATAAATATAAAAAACAAATGTATAATATATAAGAGTATCATATCTGCGGCCCCCGAGGGCCGTTGGTATCCCATTCCTCAGATCCCTCCTCCTTTGATAGCGTTGCCACAGGATATGCCAGCGCCGTAGTAGCGACCAACTGGACGGCCAGGATGCCATACCTGGGTTCAATGGGGCTACCCCAGTAGCTGGATGGGTTTTCTTGTGGAAAATCCTATCGAAATGGATGATTTAGGGGTACCCCATGTGTGCACCATGCCCTATTTTAGGATACCTTAAACATGTTATGTTGTCCTGCATTTGGATGCATCAATTCAGTGATTTCGGCAGGGGTCTAGAGGTTTCATCCAAGCATCATCTTGGGCTGATCTTAGCAAGACGTCCAGCAATAGCATCCACACCGGCAAGGCATGTTGTTCCCACAATCTGTGGCTAACCAACCTATAAAACATCCTATTATGTACCCTCTCCTGAGGAGTTGGTTTGCAATATCCTGATCTGATTGTTTGCTGGTTATATACTGTCATATGAGTCAGATCCAATATTTTCATTGGGCCATATGATAACCAAGGTCTGCAGGCCACCTTTTTTTAAAAGCGAGGCGATCCATTCCTCCTACCTCTGGCAGAGGTCGGAACCGCATCGCAACGGACTCCGGAAGAGGAGTGGCATGGGAACGGACTCCAACCAGTCTCTAACCATCGACGGAAGGACGACTTGGGGATAGCCAACCTAAATTTCCACAGTTCACGAAGTTCACGACGCTCTTCGACTTGGCTTTGCGTTTCGATGGACCACTTCCGCCTACCTTGTAAAGGGATATAAAGGGTATCTACATGCATTAATATACAGACTGAAATCATATGAGCTTGTCATTCCATCTATGGCATCATCATCCGTGTCCCGTGCCACACCTCTTCGAGAAGAAAACCACTGCTTGGCAGTCGGCTCAAAAATGTGTTTTTCGTTTTCTGCTCAGAAGTTGGGCCAGCCCTTTTGATGATGCAAATCCAAGGGCCCAACTCCAGGAATCTGTACACAAACACCGGGCCGCCGGGTCCAACAGATTTGCCTCCCCATTTATCCATTCATAGGGGATTTCCCATTCTCAAGCTTCTCAAGGCTCATTGGATTGGAAGGGAACACATTATAGGAACGCCCCAAAAAAATGATGGGTAAAACATGGTAAAACCATGGTAAACATGTAAAAACGTAAATATATATATATAGAGAGATTTTCCAATCATGAACTACTCTCAGTCTTGGGGACCCTCTGGCCGACAGGCCGACAAACCGGAGGCGCTTTGTCAGAACATCTCAGGTCGCCCGCGAGCGTAAGCCCCAAGCAGGACCCCGAGTCCTGGGCCACAGAGATCAATGTTGATCATGCCGTTGAAGTGGCACATCATCTTATAGAATATGTGTATATGATTGTATATGCTATTATCTGTTAGATATCTGGCCGAATAGGGGATCATCATTTGGTTGCGGCTAAAGATGACCGGACCGGACCCCGAAAACGAGATATGAACACAAAACAAGACGTAGAGAGTCTGGGTCCTTCCCCATTTCTGACCCATGTCCACCCTGTTGCCAACCTTCCATGTGAGATTGTCATGTAACCATGGCATACTACTTAGCGAGCTGAAGAGTCCTGGGAAAATCGTCCTTTCCAGTCAGCCATCCGATACAGCACACTCAAATAGGGGTGTCTGAAAGTAGGGAGTACCGTATACTGTATACTGGCCATTTTAGCCAGTAAAGTGGTCACAAACAAACCAGGGGAGTTTGTAGTGATTTTATTTACTCAAATTTCAAGACACATCCTAATGATGTACAAACAAGACGTTTGGACAATGGTTTGAGTCCGGTTGGGCATCAGCGCTGGAGTTGCTGTGTGCGTGGACGCAAATGAATGTAGAGGTACGTAGGGGCATTTCAGTCCGCAAGAGAGCTGGTGAGTGATAAAGAGCAAGCCTGTGCAACTACCAATATGTCAAATGCTCCATGTATGGTATATTTACCTACAAAACTGGGTCATTTATGGGGCAAATGTTGGTAAATATTCCAGCACCATGGAGCATATGGGAATATGTCAAACATGTGATCTGCTACGTACTCTGGGAAGCAGATCCACGACTGAATGTCGGGTGACCCAGTTCCCATGTTGTTTTTAACCCGCCACGAGGGTTCACCACAACTGATACAGCCCAAGGATGTCTTAATTTCATCTTAATTTCACTTAATTTCTAGGTCAGGTCACAGTTTGTTTTGTTCTTTCAAATTGCATCCCAACAAAAGCAAGCAATGATGTCCCTGGAACTGGTGCATCCTTTTGCACAAAAAAATAGAGTTCTTGTTGTTTTCTATTTACATCCATTTACCTTGATTTGGTTGGCCCATCTTTATGCTGCAAAAAAACGCACTGAGCACTACAAGATCGCAAAAAAAAACATGATAAAATCACCAAGTGAGCAGTTGGTTTAGAGGGGAACATAGGAGTTCCCATCATGGATGATAAAACCCAAATATGATGGGGCCGATCTTGGTAGTGCACCCCTCGAACTAATCATCAACCAGCAGGGCTAGCCGGGCCTGTTCTTCGGAAAGGGCTCTGTCCGGGACAGAGATCTTGCAGACGGCGACTTCAAGGGCTCTTGTTTGTTCAACCTTGGCATAAAACAGGGCGCACCTCATGAGGAATTCCCAGAAAACGGTCCCATTCTATCCACCATACCTATCATACAGTACCTTGTTGTACCCTGGTCTTAAATCCCTTCCCTTCCCCAGAGCATTGCTCTTAAAACTAGAGAGCATCAAACGGCTTCATTTTTCCTTGTCAACTCCCTATCTGTTCGCTGCTTCACTCAGTTCCATCTCTGGTTGCATACCACGGATTCTGGGTGAGATTTGCAAAGCTTGGATTCCAGCAACCACACAAGACTCAAGGTTTTGGATCACAAACTCAAGGGTGAAGATACTTAAGAAAATGGGACTAATTTTGGCAGGTTTCCTAAAATAAAAGTACCAAAGCACCATAATTACATAGGGGTGATTTATTGTTGTTTTACCCACATTACCCCCCAAATCACCAATTTGTCCATAGAATTTTCCATCATAAACCATCCATCTATTGGGGTACCCCCAACTCCGCTAAAGAGCTCTGATGCCAAGAGTTTGCGCACCACCACCGTCTGAGCCAAGGCCTACGTCCGGCATGACACAAGGAAAAGACTCTGGGACTGTGGGATGACCAACCCCCAAAAGCCAAGGTTTAACCACTAAAACTGAAGATTTAATCAGATTCACTTGATAAATATTAATATATGATATATCTATAACATATTAGGTTAGGGTTTTACCAGCACACATTAGAAGAGCGCGTGAGTTCAGATTTATAGATTTATAGATAACAGTTTCCCAACATTTAGAGAAACAACATCCAGGATTGAATCTTACGCACATACATCATGCATTCCATGGGTCCTTCTGGAGGAATGAACTTAATTCCATGCAACGAAACCAGTCAACATGTGTTTTTTAGTTTGGGAAACACATGATGAGAGTATTACTTTGGGATATAATCTAACCACAGAAGATGCTCCTTCGGCAATGTGAATCTTGAGGATAGAACCGTACAATTAGTTTGTATTGTTTTTTATGTGCCCAAATTTTGCATGGACACCAAACTACTATCTGAGCAACAAAGTCAAATGATGATGTATTCAAGTCAAATGATGATGTATTCAACTCAACCATTCACGTGCCCCACGGTGAATGGCAATTACATTTGTTGAGGGTGATCATCAGTCATCCACCACATATGGTGGGTATTTTTTGGAGGTGCATGGTATACACTAGATATATATATATACACTCTTTCAACACCACTAGTTAAAAAACTTCACCACTGGTTCACCAACATTTCAAATGATGCGTAACCCGTCACTGAGGCAATGTGATCTTGATTACTGAGGATTCACGTAGCCATTCTCCAAGAATTGAAACCTTACAAGAACAGCCTATATTGCTGGCAATTTAATGGTTAAAATCATGGCTTCCAGTCCCAGATGTCCCATAATTATAATTGAAAACATAGAGTTTTTTTTTTTGCCTTCCTCCACATGGATATCTTACAGCAAATACCTGGAATACCTAGCTGAGTTTCATCCAAAAGGTGCAATGCCAAACAAATGTCGATAATATGGGTTTGTCTGCAAATAGGGTACCCGGGTACCCCAAAATTGGATGGTTCATCACTATTTTCCTGATCAGGATGCCATTTGAGGGTATATATACCCTATTTTCAGAAACACAAATATATCTTCTCCTACGATCTCTTACGCACCGCCCTTACACCATAGTTAAAAAATCATATAAAATCAAAGTCTTCACCTACCCGGAACAACACAACTCAAAGCACACGATTCTCCAACCACACTAAACATTTTTTTTTGCAGGGGACCCTGCGAAACTAGCACGTCAAACAACTTGAATATTTCCCAAACAATCCAACAATATATCCCAATCATCATGAAATAATCAACAAGACTCATCAAACATAACGAGATGAATCATCCCAGATGATCAACCGATAATCCAACAAGCCATATTCCAACTATATAAAAAATGAAAATCACCAATAACAATCAAAAATCATCTTTCCCAGATAACTTGATGATCCAACAATCCATATTCCCCATAGATGGGCTCCAACCGCCGCCTTCTTGGCCAAGTTCTCCGACTGCGTCGTTTCTGGCGTCACAGCGCGCGCCGCGGCCGCGTCTAGATCCTCCCGGCTGCAGCCGCTGCGCGCCGCGGCGAAGGCGCTGGCAGCGCGGTGGGTCTGGGTCCTGGGCAAAATCCTGTGGTTTATCATTGTTCTCCCCATTAAAAAATTGATATTTGGGGAGTATACCCCATCTTAAGAGACACATTTTTTGGTTATTATGTGTTTTTATATTGCCTATACATACTTTATCTTTGGTGATAGAAAATGAAAAAACAAAGACATAGACAACAAGGTCCAATTGAAAAACACGAAACTAAAACCATAAATCACCAAACAGTCTGGACCTCTCCCGGAGCTGAAACTTGGGACTTCCAGGATCATTCAAAATTCCAAGTAAAGGGCTAAAAATAGAAAATAGTAGCAATAACACCTACTTGTTCAAGGATTACAACCACCTACATGATAGAATTGGGTGCTCTATGGACTCTATGGTAATATTGGATTTACCACATTCCTATAAACGACTCTTTAGTGCGATATATGTATATATATAAATATATAAATATATATATATAAATATATATATATACGTATATATATATATATATTGTGTGTGAGTGTGAATGGAGTGGATCATTTTAATGTAAACTCATACAGTATAAAGCACTATATTTTACTGAAGTGAATCCTTTTGCACGCCAAACATAACCCACTTTGTGGCTCCCAACTTTGCACCATATTGAAGCGTGAAAATAAGCACACAACCATGATCAATACACATACATGTCACGTATGTAAATGTACATATGTATGTATATATAAATATATATGTTTATACCATGCATCTATATATATATAGATATACATGTTTATACATATGTATGTATGTAAATTAAAAAATATATATATATTTATATGTATATGTATAATGTACACATATATAAATATAATATATATATATATATAAATAGGTGCATATTTAAATACGTTATATATCAAAATATTACATATTACAAAGTAATTGTTTAATATTTTGTATAGTTATAAATAGTGTACACATAGTATACAATAATATACAATAATATATATATATCTTCTCAAGTTGCTTCAACCCCCCTTAGGCCCTTAGGGCCTTAGGGATCATTTTAAATCCCAAAAATGGTTTCTAAAATGGAATCCACAAGGGGGGCTCCCAATTTTTTTTGGCAGCTATTCCGTTTTTGGGTTCTAAAATGGGTTTTGAAATGGTATCTTCCACTCTCAAAAAAAAACATTAAAAATCATTTGGAAAAACCCCTTGTTGAAACCATTGCATGTCAGACTTCATGTCAAACAAAAAACGATGAGGAAATCTGCGCCCCAAACAAATACATCAACATGAGGCGAATCAAAAAAACACTGCACAGGTCAAAGCAACACTGCAAAGACCATTCCGTAATACTCCACAACATTTTTCGGTGGGTGGCGGCCACAGATGGTCTTGTCATTTCCTACCTACGGATCCAAGTTTTTGCCTGCAATC